CGCAAATCACAGCGGCACAGCGGCGGAGACCCAGCAGCCCCGGCCAGCCGGGGCGTACATCCGACCCCCTGGAAAACACCAAAGTACCAACAAAAAATTGCAAAACCACCTTTCTTACACTTGTCGAATTTTCTATTTTTTTGCGGTGTTGTGCACGCACTACACAAAAGAGCACCTGCCCAAGTCAAGCGGCAGAGAAAAAGCAGCCAAGTGGACCAACATGGCCACAAAGCAAGTAACATCACAGCAGCAAAGCCTTCAACATAGGCCTGATCTAGACCCCACGGCCCCAGTCACTTCCAACATACCTCCACGAGAAGGCTCAAGAGAGCCCCAGCATTGGGTGAAATGTGCCAATATGGAAAAGGATATGTCCCAGCCGAAGATTGGCACAAACGTGCCCCAAATTTGGCCGCCCACTGGAGCATGCTTTCATAAGCAACAAAAACGACAAACATGTCAAAACAACCATTCTTACACTTGTCGGACCTCATTTTTCACCAAACAGTGTGAGCACACTGAGGGGTTCTCACGGTAGTGGAAAAGCAGGTGTGCCTAGATAGGTGTGCCGCGCGGCCGTGTCCGGCTAATTTGTTGCTATTTACAGTACATTCATGCCTCTCGACATCATCAATGTGCATTTCGACTGCGCAGGCTCGCAGAATCTGGGGGCCAGCGGCGGGTGCTTCTAACGACTGCGCTCTCGTTGTCGTGCCGTGCGCATTCTCGCACATGGTGATCACTTTTCGTGGCAGGCGCAAGGGAAACCTCGTGCTTTGGTGCTCCAAAGTCGACTTTTCGTGACAGGTGCATGGGATCGGAGCTGTTTTACTTCGAAGTACAGTTTTCGTGGCAGGCACAGCACTTTGGAGGAAGTGATTCAGAGCGCCCCTGCACCCCGTAATTATCAATGACAAGTTGCTCGCTCAATGACAGAGGCGAGATGGACCCAGTGCAGACCGTTGCTTAAAACTATGAGAATCTATAAGGCAGCGCGCGCGATATATCCTTCTAGCCTTAATGACCCCGAAAAAGAACTGAACTGAACTCAAGCATTACGTGCAGAATGCTTCATTTCATGCAGCCCCCATGTTTGCGCCTGAACAGGGCCTCGGTAAACTTTGCGCACGCACGCCGCCCAGAGCCTCAGCCTGGTGGTTTGGCGCCCCAGGATAGTAGTGTCTGACTCGACCGGTGGGTGACCTACTCCGGGTGTTCCCATGGCGTTCACCAACAATCGACCACGCACCGCCTGGTCGAAGACATGGAGCCGCACTGCCTACGATGGCGCCTGCCGCTGTGAGCTTCTGAATATTGGGGAGTTTTATAGGTCTCTGTGCAAAAGAAGCCGCTTTCCTTTTGAATTTAGAATTTTCTGAAGGATTGACAGCTCTGGCTATTTAAGGGCTATTGAGCGCCGGTACTGGTATCTTCGCCGGTGAACGATACAGTCTCCAGCCGAGATACATTGTCTTTGACTTTGTATTTGAGGTGAGTAAGCTATCGCTCCCTCACTGTATCTAGTATACCTTGAGAGGACAATGTCACCGAAGAGTGGCTGCGTGGATTGGAAGTTTCATTGCCAGCGCACCGTGTAGGTCACAGTGATTCCATGTGATTCCAGACTGGGAGGACTTAAAGAAAGCACTGGGTATCGAAGCCTGGGCCAGGCATCCTCATAGTGTCCTACTTGTTCTGTTTTTCTGCACGTTTTTCAGCAATCTGTACGCCTGCGACGTTGCACTTTGTTTTTGCGACCCCAGGGCGGACGAGGAGACATTCAAAGCTGGGAAAGGGCCTGCTTCTTCAAGAAGACAGAAAGCCCCCCCCAAGAAGAAGCCTGCCGCAAGCAAAGCTCAGCAGACAGGGGCTGGAAAGAAAGCCCCCAAAAAAAATCCCAGCAAGTAACGCCTGAGGGGTGGTGATCGTCGAGGAGCTCAGATTTCGTGACAGGTGCAGTGAATTGTGACTTTTCAACATGTGGCTCTTGTGCAGACTTCGTGGCAGGCACACCACTCTGTGACCCTCGATGTGCAGATTTCGTGGCAGGTGCATCATTTGGTGAACCTCGAAGTGCAGATTTCGTGGCATGCGCAGCACTCGGTGAACCTCGAATGCAGATTTCGTGGCAGGCGCAGTACTTTGTGAACCTCGAAGTGCAGACTTCGTGGCAGGCGTGCTCACTCTCACTCTCTCACTCTCACTCTCAAATCACAGCATAGGTCTCAACTGACTCTCACAAAATATATACTGTACACATATTTAAATAAAATATCTGTCAGGTCTATCGACTATATTCCAAACAGCTACCAAGGAGATATGAAAAGACCATCACATTGTATGGATCATGCCTGACAACAATGCTTGACTTGCAGTTGATTGCAAAACTTAATCATGTCTTGGAGGGTTTGGTCCAGATGTGGGCCCACAGGCTTCATGAAAAAAAACTTGCAAAAATAAATCTTCTTTTTTAATGAAATCATAATGAAACTCAAAGGATACAGTATGTACTTTGTATGTAGTTTGTATGTACTTTCTATGTAGTTCGTATGTAGTTTCCCAAAACTATTTACAAACTACATATCGCCATATGTAGTTTGTATGTAGTTTTGAAAACTACATATAAAGTACACACAAAGTACATATCATTTTTGATGGAATTTTCATATTTTTGCATATGTTTGAAATGTTTTGATGCATTTAGAGTTAAACCTGGACAAAATCCTCCAAGTGTGGGCAAAAACTTTTGGTGAGGAGAGTTGAGGAAACAACATCTAATGATTAAAACTGTGGACAAACTTTTGGTGAGGAGAGTTGAGGAAACAAATTCTAATGACTAAAACTGTGGCCAAAACTCTGGGGTGAATGAAAGTAAGGAAACAACATCTAATGAATAAAACTGGGAAAATTGGTGAGGAGAGTTCAGGAAGCGGACACAAAATTGGTCAGGAGAGTTGAGGAAACAATATCTAAGATTAAAACTGTTGCCAAAACTTTTTGGGGTGAATGAAAACAAGGAAACAACATCCACTGAATAAAACTGTGGGCAGCGGTTTTTGGTGGGGAGAGCTCAAGAAACAAAATCTAATTACTAAAACTGTGGATAAAGTTTTGTTGTCCACAGCTTTAGTCATTAGATTTTGTTTCCTTTCTTTCATCCATTTTGTTGCCCACAGTTTTAGTAATTGATTTTTGCTTCCTGAACTCTCCTCACCAAAAATTTTTGCCCACAGTTTTAGTCATTAGATTGTGTTTCCTTACTTTCTTCTCCCCCAAAAACAGGTTCCATGTCCTTTTCCTCTCTCTCTTCCTTTTCTTGTTCGATTCCTCTTCCTTTTTTCCTTTTCCTTGTCTTTCTTCCTCTTCCTCTTCCTCTTCCTTTTTCCGTTTCCTTTTCCTTGTTTTTTTTCCTGTTCCTTTTCCTCTTCATTTGCCTTTTCCTGCTCCTTTTCCTTTTCCTCTTCCTTTTCCTCTTCCTTTTCTTTTCTTCCTTTTTTCTGATTGGTTTTCCTTTTCCTTCTTTCCTTTTTCGTTTCCCTTTCGTTTGTTTGCTTGTTTTTCCTTTTCCTATGGCATGTGGTGTTTTTCCAGTTCCAAAAGATCCACTCGAATCGCGGGGAAGGGGAAGCTTGCAGCAAAGGGGGGGCTTGTGAAGTGCCTCACGAATCCTTGTGGAGGTTTGTGGGATCAAGCTTCGTCGGCTTCGTCAATATAGCTATAAAATGCATATATTCATGTTCTAAAGTGCTTTGGGCGGTTGTCTCACATGAGGCAACCTGCTAAACAGGAAGTCATAGATTGGCCTGGGTTGGAGACGGAGAGTTCCATCACTTTGCGACAATAACCAAGTGACATCAACCTGTCCTTCAAATCAACTGAGTGTCCTTCGGATCGAGCCAGCAGCTAAGAGTGGCAGAAGAAGCAGAGTGTTCTCTCCCCATAGCTAGGGATGTTTCATGCGTGAGTCAAGCGCTTCTTTCCTCTGCATAGGGTCCGGTAGGTTTGTGAACTTTGGGCCCTGAAGACCGTGGTCTTCACCACGGTCTTCACCACGGTCTTCACCATCCTTCACTGAGGTTGCAGCGAAGGGACTTGGAGCTTCAGATCGTGCAGCAACATGTCCGGGAGCTGCAACACATGTTGAACCGCACGGCTTCGCCGCATCCGATCCTGGTCCCTTGGTCCATGCTCCGCGCCTTCCACTCACCACGCTCCGCTGCAGGGCGTCATCACCTGCACGGAGCTGATGGTGACCATGCGTGGCTATGCGCAATTCGAGCAGAACCACTTCCGCAAACTCTTTGCTGCAGCCGGCAAAGGAGGAGACGATGCCTGATCCAGGCCCGTTTCCAGAGTTGCCTGAATGGCTGCAGACTGCAATCGATTTGCAGGAAGAGGAGGGGAATCCGAGCCGGAGCATGTGGCGGAACTGGAGGCTGGACATGTGCACAAGTGCCATGGCACGTGAGCGAAACGAGGGTGCTGGACATGTGCACAAGTGCCATGGCACGTGAGCGAAACGAGGGTGGATCTATAACTTTCCTTTTCCTCTTCCTCTTTCCTTTTCTATGGGCTTCAATTACCCTTTCTGCAAGGTGTTTTTCAGCAAGGGGTTGAAATCCTTCTTTGTAGGTTTTATTGCGTGATGTTTTGGCAATTCGTTGAAAAAAAGAGAAAATCTGAAACATTCCCCTGGCAAAAGGGAAAGTGAACAAATAGCATGGCAAAAGGGAAAGGAAGTGGTTCAATCAAAAACATAAAAGCAAGCATGTTGAAGAAAAGAAATTTGAACAAACTAGGGAAACTCACTTTGGAGAAGGTGCAAAAGGCATCAGGAGATGCTGCCAACCAAGAAGAGACAGCCTCAACCTTGAAGCCAACTGCTGGAAAATGGGATCCTGGCTATGCTTCTGCTGGCTGTTTTCTGAATTGGTTTTGATCATGCAAAATAGACACTTTTGAAATGATTTTGAAGGTCAACTTGAGTATGCTTTTACAAATACATTCGTCAAATACAATTGAAGCAAATTTTTATCAGTGAAATTAGAATTGAAGTAGAATTGACTTAGAATTGTTTAGCCCACAGCTCGGTTACAATTAAACAAAAGTTGATATAGAAAACGATTTCAATGAAAATTAACATACAATGACATTTACAGTAGAACTAATTTAGAATTGAATTGAAGGTCAGTTAGACTTGAACCAAAATCAACTTACAGATTGAAATTAAGACTAAATTGGAATCCAATTAGACTTTGAGTTAGACTCAAGTTGTTTTTAACATGTTATTCAGTCTTGTACTTGATTGCGGGTGGGAACACTTTGACAACAGATTGAACTGGAAACACCTTGGCAAAAGACGAAGATAAGTTTCACTTCAAATATCTTGAAGAGTTTACAGTTACATGAAAAAGACATGAATCTTTATTGGTTCTGTAGTTGATTTTGTTATTGATTTTGAAGATGCGGTTGGAAATGTACACATTGTTGTATGCCCTGCCAATGCTATCCATGGGTGTCCTAGCCTTGAAGCTTATTGGTTTCCCAATCTTTCCTATATTGTTTCACTGCTGTGTCTTGGAGTTTGCTGCTTTGCTCTTGTGCTTTCTTTTAACAGCTGCAGCACATATACATGCATTGTCAAGTGGCATGAAAAAGCACACTCCTCTGCAAGCGTTCAAGAGAAACCCTCAGGTTTTCATGTTCTGACCAAAATCTTGAAATACATTTACAAATACATTTCACACAAACTCATGCGCCACATATGTTTTACAAATCCACATCAAAGAGTCGGTGTGAAAGAAGAAGTGTCTTGACAGCCCATGTGGTAAACCGTTCTGATGTTATTTTTGAGAACAACAGCAGAAACTGTGGGGTTATTTGAAGGAATAACCTCAGAGGTTATTCTTCATAACAACCTCAGTGAGGTTAGAATTAACCTCAGGAAACAAAATAACCTCACAGGTTATTTTTAACCTCAGCTGATCTAAAGGGTGGTGAACCTCGAAGTGCAGAGTTCGTGGCATGCGCAGCACTTGGTGAACCTCGAATGCAGATTTCGTGGCAGGCGCAGTACTTGGTGAACCTCGAAGTGCATATTTCGTGGCAGGCGCAGTACTTTGTGAACCTCGAAGTGCAGATTTCGTGGCAAGCGTGCTCACTCTCACCCTCACGCTCATTCATTCACACACGCTCACACTGACACTCACTCTTCACTCACACTCACGTTCACACTCACACTCACTCCCACTCGCAATCACACTCACTCACTCACTCACTCACTCCACTCACTCACTCACTCACTCACTCACTCACTCCACTCACTCACTCACTCACTCACTCACTCACACTCACACTCACACTCACACTCACTCTCATCCACACTCACTCTCACTCACACTCGCTCTCACTCACACTCGCTCTCACTCTCAAGCTACCACTGGGAGCGCACTTTGGAAAGTTGTTTTGATCACCATGAATGCTGAAAAGTTGCCCAATCATTTTTACACAAACGGTTTGTTTTCCAGAGATTTTGTCCGTGACTACCCTGTGACTTACGACACATGGTTACGTGCATGGCATGGTCCCTTGGAAACCGACTTTCCTGTGAACTCACTCCACTCCCACCCATGTGATGTTTGGATGAAGGGCAGATGGCGACACCGACAGGAAGCTGCCTTGGCCAAGCTCTGTGATGCTGCATGACCCCGGCCACGAAGCAAAGGGCGAAGTGGCGGGACGAGGCGGGCGTTCAGGGCATTGGAGAAGAGATCTGGAAGAGAAACTATAGTTATGGAACTTGTAAGTTAGTCAGCATATAGACATGTTGTTTAACTATAATGGAGTATGTGGAAGACTGTTTGTGCTCAGAAACAGTTTGGACCCCTCAAAAACCGCCGGGGGGGGGTTGGGAGTATCATTTTCGTAACTCTTTGACTTTGATGTCATGATATTTTTTTATTGCCATGTCCAGTCAAACAAGGTCATTGACCGGGATTGAAGCCCGACTGCGACTGGTCACTGAGTCACTGATTCTTTTCACTTCGACCGCCAACTGCGACCACACCAGGGGTCGACCTGACCGACCCGATCGAGAACCTCCACATTGAGCGAGCTCCGGCGCCATGACCGCGCTCGACGCGCGAGTCGAGCGGTGAAGCGGGTGAAGTCGAGCGGCGCGTTGACTTCGAGGGCGGTCTCAGAAGTTCTGCGTGGAGCCGAGCGTGAAAAAGAGCTTTGGACGGGAACTGTTGGGTGGAGGAAAAAACACATGGTCCAAAGTTCTGGCAAGACAAAGCCATCTCTTGAGGGGAAAACTAAGTCCTGACCGACGACATACGCTCCCTGGAATCATCACGGGAACCGTGGATGGAAAACGGCCCCGATTTTGAATGACCATGAAATCCGAAGACCAAATAGGTGGTGAACTCCACTTCTATATGAGGATTTCAGGCAGTGTAATGTTTTTCAAACATTGTTCAATCTTTCAATCATTGTTCAATCTATCCTTACATGGAGGACTCCATCAAGCTGGTCAATGACTCAAAGGTGAACATTGGTTCTTTGGTCAAATTTAATCTACCTTGAGTCTCAATGTACCTCAGTAGTTTTTTTTTGGGTTTAAAGGCATGTCCCATATCCAAAGTTGCTTGAAAGGATCTTGGTAGGGTTGATATGTTGCTGTAATTGTGAAAGAGCTTCTACTGCAATCATGTTGTTTTGCTTGGCAAGGGGAAATGCATGCATCCTAGATCCTGATTTGGGCCCGGCACAGTAGAAAGTCTGTCCATTGGTTCCTCTCCTGTGATGTTTCATGAACGAATGTACCACACAATAGTAACCATGGCAATGGTAGCACAATGGTAGCAATCGTAGAACCCTCGAGCCTTTCTTTGTAGGTTCTGCTCCACACAAACTAAAGCACCCATCATATATTTATGTTGGGGGAAATGGACATATAATAAGGACCTTTCCCAAGTGTATGTAATAAGAGTATATGTAATGGCTGTTCGGGACCTTCTGAAAGGAACACAGGCAAGTTGGACGTGGTTCCCCACGTGGTTCTTCTCTCCAAGAGAACTGATCAAGGAGGATCAAACAAGACGCCTCCCTTTGCCGCCTTTTTGCTGCAACGGCTTACAGCGTAATCCGATCTGGGGGCCTGACGCTTAGTAAGCGGGGCCTTCTTCGTGGATCCTTCGCGTCGTGTGGCACCCAACTCTGCAGGGAGAAGGGCAGCTGGCATGATGGTGGGAGCGCAGTGCCCCACGGAGAAGTAGAAATGGACCCCACCAAGTACCTTTGAACGTTTGAGGTACGAACTGAGACTGCAATGTACAAAAGCCATGAAAAGCCCTCCCTATGGATCCACATACCTTCTATAAGAAGGTGATTGGACACTGTTGATGTAGGCGATCTTGGAGGGTCCAATCACCGAACCAGGTCGGTTCGGTGGATCCATAGGGCCTTAAAGTCACTGTGGCGTAGGGGAACTCCTCGCAGCCCGGAAATACCCACGCCCGTACGAACGCCATCTCGTGATGCGAAGGAACCAGAATGGGACCATCCAATGGGAGTCGTACGTTCTGTTCTTTCTTTTCCCGGATCCACTGCCACCGAACCGACCTGGTTCGGTAATTGGACCCTCCAAGCTCGCCTACATCAATAGTGTCCAATCACCTTATAGAAGGTATGTGGATCATGGTGGATCCATAGGGATCATTTCTGCTTCCTACACTTGTTCTTGGTCCAGACCGGACACCCCAATGATCATATAGCTCCCCAACCCGCTTGGACCCCGCCCCCGCCGTTCTTCGTCCCATGAAGCCGGTCATTCAACTCGCGGTGGAGGGACGGACGAAACAGATGAGGATGGAGCGATCCAACTGGGCATAATACAACTCAGTGTTGTTTCGTTTGATTTAGTTCACCTCCACCCACGTGGATCTGAAAAAGCATGTGGATGATGAAAACGCCATTCTGAGCCTGTTCAGATGAATTGATTCTTGGTGCTTTGAGCAACTACTCAGCGTTCCCTCAGAATCCGGGCTGGGTGACCGACCCTGGAGTGTCCGGTGGAGGGCCCACATGCGGATTCTGAGAGTTGGAGCAGCCTGAAACCAAGAGAGGTTGAGAGACCATATAGGACCCTGTAGTGGTACATATGGGATGGGCTATAGGGCTGTTCAACCTCTCTTGGAAGTTAAGGTCTAGGGATCCAGTCGTACCGAACTCAAGTTCGGTACGACTGGACCCGAACATGGCGCCCGGGCCCCCAGTCCCACCGAAACGAAACGAAGGGTACGACTGGATCCTTAGGGACGGATGATTCTTTTAGGGCTCCTGGCCGCCCCCTCCGTTTCGGCTTCGATGCTTGGGGTTGGTGGGTGGTCGCCACGGGGGGTCAGTCCCCTTCTGATGGGCCGTTCGGAGGCCTATAAATAGGGGAAAAACACCTGCCTGTTTGGTCTTCGGATGTTCATGGATGTTGGTCATCCGAGAGCTTCGTCTTCGAAGCTCTCGGTGCTGATGATGAGTGTGGGGTCCACCGATTCGACTCGACGAACGGGAAATCACGGAAGCAACGGGAAACCACGGGCGGCCCAGTCAGTTGGCTTCTCCAAAAGGGTTTTCTGACTGAAACGTCAGGGCTCCTGGCCTATATCCTCAGGTGGGGACTGACCCCCCCCAAGACCACCCACCCCAACCATCGAACCGAAACGGAGGTAGTTGGAACCGGGCTTGTTTTGTTCTGGCTCTGGATTCCCTCCGATGAAGCAGTCCTCCGCGCTTCAGCACGCCTGAAGAAATGGAACAAGCACCGGCAGCGTTTGTTTCGTGGTTCCTACCTGGACAACAACGTGGCAAGCACCTTGGAAACTGGTACCCGAAACCAACACATGTGTACAAATGTCACCTCTTTTTGGAGGTTCGAACGAACTGGTCGACTTCAAGTCCAAGTACCAGCACCTCCAACAGGTCACCAATTGAAACCTGTTGGGGCCTAACAGCCCTCCAAAGGAGACCTGCTGGAAGGTGCTGGTATGGTTCTTTGATGTGGTTCCTGAAGCAAATCCAAACGAATCCGAACGCCAACCCCACACACCGTTAGAACGCAACCCGCACACGTCAGGCGCATGGCGGCTGTTCGATGCCGCTGTGGAGCCACGGTTGGGGTTGCGCAGCGGGCGCAGCGGGCGCATGTGCGAGGGAGGGTTGGGGACTGAAAGGTCGTTGAATGGTGATTGAAACCCTAGGGCCTAGGCCTTATAGGGATCCAAGTACCTGATCCAGTCGTACTTTCTCAGGTACGGTGATTGGAGACACGGTTATGTAGGCTTGAAGGGGACCAAGTGCCTTCTGAGAAGGTGCGACTGGATCCTTAGGGAAAGACAAAGACTTGGAATTCCCAGATGGAACCAATCGTGAGTTGCAAATTTGTATGAAAAGTCAATGGACCTGTTGGATGTACATACCCATATAGTTGTTTCTTGGGCATTGGGAATTCCAAGGAGTTGATGGGATGTTCAAGTGATGCATAGTGTAACACGTTGGAAGAAGGTGCACGGCTGCTAGCATCGCCCTGCTTCCATGGGCCTGCTATGGGCTTCTGATGCAGCTGGGCAGTCGGGCCATCCAACCGTCGCAAGCAGAGAGGAAACTTAAAGTGATCCTAGGTGTTTGCTTATGGTCATGTCTATTTTTCCCTATGGGTGGATCCCATTTGGGGAAGATGGTTGGCTTTTCCCGGTTCCTGGACAGTTTGCATCCGAGAGGAAGCTGAAGAAGAACTCAAGGTTTCCAACGACACACTGATGGATATTGTATGATGTTTATACTCCCTCCAACAAACATGGAAGCTGACCAGAACCCCCTTATATAGTTGGTTTCCAGGGCCCAAACTGTTCTACTTTCATGGTTAATATTATTTGCTAATATTGCTTAGGCTCTTTCCTACTTCACTTTTGATGCGCCTTAGGAACACCAACCATCAGCGCCAAGCTCGTTAACGAGAGATGTCATCGTAGCTTGTGCCTCTCTTCAGACAAATTGGTAGAGATAGGTTGGGACAATGATTCCACGTTTCTACAATTGCTTCACTGAGCTCAAGTGATTTGTGCATTTTCCCAATAGGCTATGGGTGCATCATCTGGCATGGGTGAGGAATATGTGTGTCATTTCCTGGACAGCCCATGGGCTTCCAAGCTTCGCGACCTCGCGACCTGAGGTGCCCCTCCTGAGGCGGCGGCGGCGATGAGAGAGGGGCGATTGATCTGAGGAGTTGGCTTTGAAACGAGGAAATCAAGGCGTTTGGCGTTTATTTTTCAGTGAAAGCAGAGTCACGTTTTTGAAGGAACCAGAGTAGTCTTTGGAACCAATGGTTACCAGCTATAATGGTACCTGGATCCCCTAAGATTTAAGATTGGGATCGTTGGGTCAAAATCGTCATGGTCCTATTTTGTTGGATCCCAACAAAATACGTTGTTTTGTTCCATTGAAGTGTCTTGGCTTGAGGTTTTCAGTGATACACTCCAGCGCCCTTGGCGCAGCTTGACTAAAAGTAGCCTGCGTGAGTCCCGATTCCAAGTGTGGACTGAAGAGTTGCTCTTGGACTTCTCCTCTGACAAATATGTTTCAATGTTGAAACCACCAAGCAGTTTTTGTTGGGAGTTATTCTTGGCTTTTGCTGGCCCTGTATACGTTTCCCCTTGACAGCCAACCGATTGAGAAATCCAAAGAGGAAGCAGCCCGGAAGACATGACACTTGCGGCAGAACCAATGAGCAGACATTGTCGAAGAAGCAAGGTGGAGACTTCTACCCGCTCGACCCTGCTTCCTCATGGTCCCCATTTGGTTTCCCGCTCATTCGCCTCACCAAGTGATCACCGGGAGCGCCGTCCTTCTCGGCTGGGGTCACTCTGCAGGCGCTGGTCGGGCTGGGAGGCATTGGCGGGAGCCTCAGGTCATGGCTCTGGAAAAGGAGGGGGTCGTGGTCCGTCGTGTGTGTGTGAAACCCTTGGAGTCACAGGGGAACCTTTGTCTTTTTGTATTTGAGCGTGGGAGCGGTGGGCATTCTTGAAGTCACCGCTCAATGAAGACACTTCAAGTTTGCTGTGCTATGCAATCTGGACGCACATTGCACGTACCTGCGAGAAGATGATCACCTTGTATTTCCTCCATGGTCCCGTGCATAATAAGAACAGGACTTCTCTTTTGGCTTCGGT